GGCTGATATGCTCGAACAGGTTGATGTTAGGCAGGAGGATGTGCTAGAAATTTTGAAAAACATTAGGATAGATAAGTCCCCTGGGTCAGACGGTATATACCCACGGTTGATTACGGGAAGCCAGGGAAGACATGGCTGCACCTTTGGCGATAATCTTTGTGCCCTCACTGTCCACTGGAGTATTACCAGATGACTGGAGGGTGGCAAATGTTATTCCCTTGTTCAGTAAAGGGAATAGGGATAATCCTGGGAATTACAGACCAATCTGTAATTTCTTCTGTGGTGGGCAAATTATTGGAGAGGATTCTGAGAGAGAGTATTTATGATTATTTGGAAAAGCACAGTTTAATTAGAAATAGTCAGCATGGCTTTGAGGGGGGCAGGTCATTGCCTCACAAGCCTTATTGAATTCTTTGAGGATGTGACAAAACACATTATTGAAGGCAGAGCAGTGGATGTGGTGTATATGGATTTTAGCAAGGCATTTGATAAGGTTCCCCATGGTAGGCTCATTAAGAAAGTAAGGAGGCATGGAATTCAGGGAAATTTGGCTGTCTGGATTCAAAACTGACTGTCCAATAGGAGACAGAGGGTGGTAGTAGATGAAAAGTATTCAGCCTGGAGCTCGGTGACCAGTAGTGTTCCACAGGGATCTGTTCTGGGACCTCTGCTCTTTGTGATCTTTATAAAATGACTTGGATGAGGAAGTGGAAGGGTGGGTTAGTAAGTTTGCCAATGACACAAAGGTTGGCGGAGTTGTGGATAGTGTGGAGAGCTGTTGTAGGTTGCAACGGGACATTGACAGGATGCAGAGCTGGGCAAAGAAGTGGCAGATAGAATTCAACCCAGAAAAGTGTGAAGTGATTCATTCTGGAAGGTCGAATTTGAATGCAGAATACAGACTTAATGGTAGTGTGGAGGAACAGAGGGATCTTGAGGTCCACGTCCACAGATCCCTCAAAGTTGCTACCCAAGTTGAGAGGGTTGTTAAGAAGGCGTATAGTGTGTTGGCTTTCATTGGCAGAGGAATTGAGTATAAGAGCCGCGAGGTTATGCTGCAGCTCTATAAAGCTTGGAATATTGTGTTCAGTTCTGGTCGCCTCATTATAGGAAGGATGTGGAAGCTTTAGAGAGAGTGTACAGGAGATTTACCAGGATGCTGCCTGGACTGGAGGGCAGGTCTTATGAGGAAAGGTTGAGGGAGCTCAGGCTTTTCTCATTGGAGTGAAGAAGGATGAGAGGTGACTTGACAGAGGTGTACAAGATGATGAGAGGCATAGATAGAGTGGATAGCCAGAGACTTTTTCCCAGGGCGGAAATGGCTATCATGAGGGGACATAATTTTAAGGTGATTGGAGGAAGGTATAGGGGAGACGCAAGAGGTAGGTTCTTTACACAGAGAGTATTGGGTGCATGGAATGCACTGCCAGTGGTGGTAGTAGAGTCAGATACATTAGGAACATTTAAGCGCATCTTGGATAGGCACATGGATGATAGTAACATGTAGGGTATGCAGGGTAGTTTGATCTTAGAGTTGGACAGTAGATCGGCACAACATCGTGGGCCGAAGGGCCTGTACTGTGCCGTACTGTACTGTTCTATGTTCTTTTCAACCGTTAGATAGTGGAAAGGTGTATTTTCGACTTGTTTTGGTTACACGGCATATCATAGGAAGATGAGTCGGCCATTCAGCTTGACGAGCCTGCTGTATCATTCATTACGATCATGGCTGGTTGAGTATTCTATTCCAAAGCAATCAAAACTGCGCACAGTATGTAAAGTGTAGCCGAACCAATCTCCCATACAATTGAAGCAATTCTTTACTTCCATCCGCTAATCCTTTTGTGATAAAGATCAATGTTCCATTTGCTTTCCTAATAGCCTGCTGGACCTGTATTTTAGTCTTCAGTGACTTATTGACAAGGACACCCAAATTCCCTTTTAAATCTACCCTTTCCAAACTCTCTGAATTTAAGAAATAGTTTGCACATCTGTTCTTCCTACCAAAGTGAATAAACCTTTATTTTCCACACTATTTTCCATCTGCTATATTCTTGTCCAATCACTAATGCTATCCAAATCCTCCTGAAAACATTTTATATCTTCCTCACAAAACACAATTTTGCTTAGCTTTGTGTAATCTGCCTGTTTGGAAATAGTACATTTAGTGCCCACGTACAAATCATTGATTATGTCATTAAACCCAAGACAGGGGTCCAAATACTGATCCTTATGACACCCCACTAGTCACAGTCTGCCACCATGAAAATGACATATTTATTCCAATTCTCTGTTTACTGTCTGTCAGCAAAGCCATGATCCGTGCCAGAACATTATCTCCTATTGCATGTGCTTCAACTTTGCTAAATAACCTGTATGGGACATTATCAAAAGCTATCTAAAAATCCAAATAATTACATCCAGCAACTCCCCTTTATCAATTTTGTTATTAACATCTTCAAAAATGACTTCACTATCTTCTATATGCAAATCTTTCTCATGGTGTCCAATCAGATTTCTTTTTCAACTTATCACATCATTTATGATGAATTCTAGCTTTATCCCCACAACTGATATAAGATTGATGGGTCTATAGGGATTCCCCACATCTTATTCTCTTAATTAATGGGGTAACATTAACAAGCTTCCAATCTGCAGGAATCATTTCAGAATCTGTAGAATTTTGGTACAAATTGGGTGCTGAATCAAGACCCAATTGTTGAGATCTTGATCTTAGGTTGTCTAAATGTATTGCTGAGCAAGAGAAATACGGAAGTGAGAGGCAGTTCATATCGTTATCTACAATAGTAATTCATAACGAGCTAGAAACCCTGTACCATTGCCATTCTGCTTTTTAGAACACAGATATGGTGGAGTAGAGACTACAGACTGACTTTTTAAAAAAACAATTGTTAGAATGTTGTGGAAAATCTCAGTGTGAGTTTCAAATGATGTGCAACAGTGTTTGATCCAGCAAATGGAAAAAATATATAATTATTATTTGATTTAATTTATTATTGTCACATGTATCTAGGTATAGTGAAAAGTTTTGTTTTGCGTGTGGAACACGCAGATCATACCATACAAAGTGCATAAGGGTATTAGAACAGAGTGAGGAGTACAATATTACAGCTGTAGAGAAGGCGCACAAACAGCGAGGACAACATTAAATTTGAAATTTGAGAGGTCCGTTCAGAAGTGGGGAAGAAGCTATTCTTGAATCTGTTGGTACGTGCAATTAAGCTTTTGTATATTCTGCCCAACGGAAGAAGTTGGAAGAGATTATAACCAGGGTGGGAGGGGCCTCTGATTATGTTGGCTGCCTTTCCAAGGCAGCAAGAAGTATAGATTGAGTCAATGGATGGAAGCTTGGCTTGTGAGATGGACTGGGCTTTCTGAAGATCAGATAAATTCTCAATTGGTAAGTAAACGTCATCTTACACTGTAAGTAACTGTTTATTATTTATGATCATTTCTATAAATGTAGCTTCTGTACGGTTTCTGAGTCTACTGCTGCTGCACTTTTTATCTACCATAGTGTGCTGTCTGAACATTGCATTTTTTAAATCTTTTCTGGCTGCATGCATTTGGTTTTCAAATCACTGACTTTTATATTTGTAAGTATCTTCTTTAAACTTCAAAATTCAGATCTTAGATGCAGGAATCAATGCCTCACTCGGGGTAGGTGTTGGCCTAGTGGTATTATTGCTAGACTATTAATCCAGAGACCCAGGTAATGTTCTGGGGACCTGGGTTCGCATCTCACCTTAACAGATGGTGAAATTTGAATTCAAATTTCTGAAAGTAAGAGTCTAATGATGACCACGAAACCATTGCTGATTGTCAGGAAAAACCCATCCTTACCTGGTCTGGCCTACATGTGACTCCAGACACACAGCAATGTGGTTGATTCTTAACTGCCTTCTGGGCAATTAGGGATGGACAATAAATGCCTACATGAATGAATTAAAACCATTGATGCTTTACTGTTGCCTTACTGTCTGATAATTCAAAATTGATCTGTGATTCACCCATACCATAAATATTATGCCATTGGAACATGACTTATCTATTCTACTATTTTGACTTTATAGTTCAACAATCTATTTCCTTGTTTACTGCTCTGCATTGTTGGGTATGTTAAATGACATGAATAAGTCTACCGGATATCTTTGTATTTCATTCATCATTATTTCAATGTATTCAAGGGAAAATAAATCTAGAACAAAGTTAGGAAGTATCCTCCGTTATATATTTAATGGAGAGTTAATGGTTTGACAGGTTGAGTTTCTATGTATTGAATGACCTATTCTCACCCAAGATCTACATTACGAAATGCCCATTTAGGTTGCTTTTACTTTTCATACAGTAATTTATAGTATGTTGCAGATATTTCACATTTTAATTTAAATAAATTATACATGAAACCAGAAAGTCTTTTACTGGGCAACCATGTGTACATGAAGGGTCAGCTGGAGAAGCTCAACTTCCAGGTTTCAAAGCATGAGAATTAGCTGCAGCACATAAATTGTACAAGTGTAGTAAGAAGAGGGAGGTGATTGGGAACTAAAAGGAAATTTTCGGCAAAGACCACGACTGAGATACTAAATGAGTTCTTTTGCAGCTTTTTACTCTTTGTTAAAGATGGATGCAAAGTCGTTGAGACGGTGGATAGGCTGAAAATTGATGGATGTTTTCTGTGCCTAACAGTTAAGTCGTGAGGGTCAGAAGCTTCTAATGATGCTGAGAAAATTGTGGAGGTTTTGGTCATAATCTTACAAATGCGTTAGAGGACTAGAGAATTGCAGATGTTACACCCTTGTTCAATAAACGGCATAAGAATAAACACAGCAGCTATGAACCTGCCTCCACCACATTTCCATGCAATGCATTCTATATCCTAACTGCTCACTGACTGAAAATGTATTTTCTCATGTCACCTTTGCTTCCTTTGCACATCACTTTTAATCAATGCCCTATCTTTCTTGTTTCTTTTACAGGCGGGAACAGCTTCTCCTTCTCTACTCTATCCAGCATTCATGATTTTGAAAGCCTCTATCAAATCTTGATAGGAAGGAAGACAGGATTGAGTAGGTCATTCAGCCCCTTGAGCCTGCCCTGCCATTCAATAAATCATGACTGATCGAACACTTCAATGCATTCGCTCCAACCTGCGGCATGCCCTGAAATGTTACTGACTGCTGTCCATGTTAGAGACCCAGAGAAGCAAGCAGTGGGCTTGAATTACTAGCTACCCACTTTCACATTGGGAATTGTTGCTGTCTAGATTTTCTCTGGTGCATAGGAGAATAGGAGACCGCCTATCGGTGAGGTGGGATTAAACACTGATAGTGTGCAAATACATTCAGGTATGCCACTTACTGCTCATTAGTGAGAATCTTGTCTCGCCATTTAAAGCAGGATTGCAAAACTAGACATTATTCAGGGACTGGGAAAATTCCACATTGTCTTTGATCTCTACTCCAAGCTCTCTTCTCTATTCATTGAATCCATCCTTCTCTTTGGCAAGTGTCTGAAACTAAACCAAACTTCTCACAACATTGGAATCATACTTGATCCCGAGGTGAGCTTCTGACTGTATATCTGCCTCGCTAACATTGTGAACTCTCCCCTCTAAAGTATCACCTGATATCATCCATTCCCTAGCACATCAGCTACTGAGCCCTAATTCATGTTTCCTGTTATCTCTAGACTTGATTATTCTAACATTGTTTGTGCTGGCCTCCAACATTTTATCCCCTGTAAACTGGAGGTCACCCAAATCTCAGATCATGGATGAACATCAACCCTGTGACTTAATATTTCTTTGTAGCTCAATATCTAAATCTACTCTGTAATACTCCTGTGAACCTTGAGATGTCTATTATGTTGAAGTTGCTGTATAAATATAAATGGTTTACTACAGCGTAAATTGTCTATGGAAAATATAAGCTCATTTAGCCAATATATTCCCTGTTTAAACTATATACATTGGCATGATATGTAACCATCAGTATTGGTGGATTAGTAATATCTCAAATATAATAAGCAAAAATGTTGTTTTATAAGAACATGAGGAATATAGCAGGTTTGGGTCTATTGGGTCTATTCTGCGGTTGAATAAGATCATTGCTAATCATCTACCTGATCTCCACATTCCCAAAGTATCCCCACAATCCATTGATTCCCTTTGTATCTAAAACTTTTTTTGAGTGGAGACATTTATCATTATTTCAGCTGTAAATGGTCCATCACATATTTTAACACTGTGAACCCAAGTTCTTGAACTAGCCTTTTAAAATTAATTTGCAAGTATGTAAGTGAAAGGGTTAACTTTCCAGTCTATAATAAACTATGTTAGAATTTTATGATGATAAGAATGTACATTTGCAAAGTATTTGTAAATTGTGAAGGTGTGATGAAATCATCCATTTCTGTCTATTTCTTTGTGCTGAGCAAAACAGCAACCTCTGAGTGGTAACATTAATGGTACAAACAGTTCCAAGACTTGCTAGGTAGCAGTATTCAGTTCTTCCCAATAATAGGTGAAAGGTTTATTGCGAAGTTTTCAAAAAGTGACTTACATTAGTTCAGGGATCACTGAAGAGAGTTGAAAGATTTGTAGAAAGTTTGAAGACCGATTGCAGAAGAAGGTAACAGGAATACAGACCTCATGCTAGACTGTACTGCTAAAGGCAGCCAAACTACATGGGTTTTGCACAATGAGGACGCAGGGAAGTTTAAAGTAGTTGAATAGTTCTATTTAGTGAGGACTCAAGGAAGCCATGGGAGCTAAAGTGTACATTAGTAATTTAGTACAGATAAGCAGGGGTCGAAAGACCCATGGGCAGGAGGACAGTTTTTTTTTATTTGTTTGATTTTTTTACATGGACATTTGTCAGATATTAAAATAGTTACTATTGTTCACAGTAAGTTGACTGCTTCCAGAAATTTCCAGCGATTGCTAAGACAAAAGCAAACACATCACCTACCTAAATGTGACCATCCTTGCATTGTATGAACTTTCAAGGTCAAGCCAACACAAAGGACCCATAGGCAAGATATCTACCACAACCAGTTCTCCATAAAGAAGACAACTGAAATCTATAGAGATAGTAGGAACTGCCGATGCTGGAGAATCTGAGATGACAAGGTGTAGAGCTGGATGACCACAGCAGGCCAAGCAGCATCAGGGGAGCAGGAAAGCTGACGTTTCG